CGCATTATAAATATACAAGGTTTCTAATTTTTTCCATTTTATCAGCACAATGCAAGTCTAGTTTGTCATTTGTATGAAGCAACCATATGTATAGATCTAAATCTCAATTAAAGAGAAAACTAATTAAATTTACTTGCATACAAATGGAAACAGTTTATCTTTAATGGCAGAAATGTTACCATCCCTGCTTTCCCCCCAGATATCCCCTGCCCAAATTTTCCCCTGTTCTTGCCTTACTGGTGTAATTATAGATACTTCCTATTGATTTGATGCCGTAAAAACACTTTGGTTTAATTCTTGATGTGTTTCATTCTAGTATTTGTTAGCAACGAGAAGTACTGATAAATTTGAACAACAAATTGGACCAACAGATGCAGATGTTGACAATTTTCGACCACAACTGGCAAACCAAAGAGAAACAGTGCGAGTATTTTGGAATCTTCTAAAGTCGTACTACTTTATATTCGTTGGGCAGGTAAACAGTCTATTTGCTATTTGCTTTAGGCTCTTTTTCTCTAAATCTTATTTGTCTTTCTGCTGCAGCATTTCACGTTTCATTTATGCAAAATTGCATTTTTGAGGAGAGTTGCCCATTCTTTATGCTCAGAAAGCAACTGTTTTTTGTGCCTAACACTTTTTTCCAGCTGAGTTGCCTGGTTATATTTAAAGCACTAGTATAAGGAACTGTTTCTGACTCTGTTTTGCTAATTTGTAAACAAACAAGTTTTCGCACGTCGTCAGCAGATGCTGACTCCTTTTCAGCCGAGATACATTTAGCTCAATTCTTCCATATTTTAATTTCTGTTTTTATTCATTTTCATTCATCCATTGCCTTTCAAGCTGAATGGTTGTAACCCTGTTCACTTACAGACGTTCCAATTTCTCGTTGATCTCGTGGTTTCCCAATGCTAATTGCGGTCCCCTCACTTAACAGCAGATCTGATGCACGAGGAGCTGTTACTTACTTTTATTTTCATAACGTGCAACAAAATATATATAAGCATTAAAATAATTATGATTTTACACGCGATATACCATATGCATAGTCTTCATACCGCCGCTAGATAGGCCAATTCAAATACATACATACTCCCTTCTAATAGCGAAAATAATTTTCCTTGTTTCTGTATATTCTTCTTTATTTCTCAACCTGAATCTTTCTCAAGAATTTAACTACTTTTTGTCTTAGCCAAAATCTGGCAAAGCTTGTCTGAAGGCGTTGCAACAGAGCGTCCAGCTGTTAAATGTTGCTGGGGAGGAAGGTACCAGTGAATAATATCATATGAATCATATCTTATTTAAACTGAAGGGTTTTGAATGTGGTATTTTTGCGTTCTAATGTATTTTCGTGAAGGCTGTTGTCAATGAAAATTTTTGTAACTTAAGTTTACAGCTGATATTTGTAAATAAGATATCATAGAGGCGGAATGGCTTATCTGCCATTACTCTGCATAAAGTGTTGAGTTTAGGCCCAAATAGAGGTTCAATGTCATGAAGTCGGTTTAATGGCTTGCAGCTATTTGAATTCGATTTCTCATTATGTTTCTTTTTGCAGCACATTCTGTCGCCGACCCTCAAGCAATGCAGTGGATGACAAAGGACCAAATATGCGTTCTTGTTTATTTGGTAAAAAAAGTTGTTTCGCTCTCTTTCTATCCGAAGTTAAAGGCAGTGTGTTTGTGCTAGTAGCATTCTAAAAACGTGTGTAATCTGGTCAATTCCAACAAAGTGACTATCATTTTTTGTCTTAACCAATCACATTGCTGAGTTTTCAGCGTTTCATGAGTTGTTTTTATCGATTATGTTTGCAACTACAATCTGTTTAGGCATGCTGCCTTCAAAGTAAGTGGTTCAGTATTCGTGAAGCCCGGATACCTTAGTAGGATCAACAAACCAGGGAATAAAAGCTTGTCTATGACATCAGCACTTTGAATCCCGCGAATCTGCCCGCAAGAGCTAAGTCGTTTTCTCAGTTGATTGAAGATGATGAACCATTAATAGGAGTTAAAACGTAAAAATGGGGGTGGAAAATGATTTTATGATAGATAAGTCTAGGACTATCAATCTATTCGTAAGTAAAATTGACCAGGGTTCAGAAATTTCAAACAATCCCTTGATACACTTAATGATCAGCTTTTCCCAAAATGTTTTTCTTCATACCTAGAAGCGTGGCGAGCGAAATAGCCTAACAGAGGGACCATAAGCGCAGATTTGTTCAAAGATTGGAAACAATTAAACTTTTTGTATCGAAAGAATTTTCCTGGCTCTGATTTAAGACAGTTGAACAGTGAGAGTGCAAGCCTCAATCACCTGGTTTTATGAATTTAATGTTTGCTTTGAAATCCAAGTAGGAAATGCAAGAATTAGCAGTTTGAAATCACGATGTGTTATCGTATAACAGTGTCGTTGGAACGAAACCTATATTGGGGTGGGCTGCCGATTGTACTACCATCCATTCAGTACACTATTATAAAGGAAATATAGACCATTTGTCAACTATTGGGGGGAGGGGGCTCCAAGAGTTTGGCCTTCTGTGGTCCAAGTTTCTTTTCGAACTTTGTGAAACTCCCTAAAGAGCACAATACTCTTTGCCTGTTTTCATGTAAATGAGCGAAAGAAGTAGTTACTGTCCTGCTGTCGACCTTAGATTCCTTTACTACTGACATATCATATGTTGTTGACACATTTTCTGCATACCTCTTATAGAATATCTCCAAATGCTTATATTTGAAGATCCTATTCAAAAGAATTATAACTTCAAAAGAGACGACAAACCCAATCATATTAGATCTACTTCAAATCCTAAAAGGGTGCGACCGGAAGCTCTTTTGTTCCCCCTGAAAAGTTTTGCTATCAAAAGCAATTGCATGTTTTTTATTTCTGTTCTGCAAGGGTCACTGAAAAGATAGGATAGTGAAACTGTCTCTTTTTCGTCTGATGTTTAAATCAAGTAAGAACTGATTACGTCATTGAAAAATACTACATTCATTGTGCTCATTACCCCTAGGATATTAGGGTTCGGTTTTCTCTTGAAGGAATTTCTCACCTAAGCATTCATATTTTAGGCATGGACATGCAGTTTTCATTTATTCTGTTTTTTCTGTTTTAGCCAATATATATACATTTTCTTTTTTACATAAAGCAAATGGTAATAATAATGAAATATAATAATATTTCATGTTTATCAAGTTTATTTGTCCAGTCAAAGACCTTTGATGAGTCTAAATCGAAGTGGTAGCGAAATTTTAAAGGGCAAGTGTGAAATTGCATGTTGATGGTTAAAAAGACCTTACCTACTGCAGAATTGTAAAATGAAACATGAAAGTATACACATGTTGTATAATGCTAAAGGTTTTTTGGCAGTATCAATTTAGTATCAAGCGTTACTTTCCACTAACAGAAAATGGATCACGCAATAACCTCCACTATGCACCACCCACGAGCTAAATCATTGCCTTCCAAAGTCTTTTTTATCATAACAGCATTTTATCCGCCTTCAGTGATAATGACGAATCAAAGTTTTCACATTGCAGCTCCATTTTCACAGCTTTGTCTTTTTACAGGTTACCGTTGCCCACTCAATGCACACTGGATGTCTTGAAAAGGCAGTGAAATATACAGAGAAGGCTATAACACAAATCGAAAGGATAAGAGGTATCTAAATGGAATTTAGAACAAGATTCGTGATTAAGAATTCAGATATTTGAAGTGGAAATTTAAAGGGCAAAGTAGATATTTTATGCTTTGCTTAAAATAGTTTGTATCACTGCAACAATGAGGCCGTGTAAAACTTTCAAGTTGATAAATGAAAGGGAAATTAAGAAAGCTGGATAAGATATCTCTATTAGGCCTATAAGACTACAATCAATATTTTTGTGAAAAGTACTGGACTCTATAATTTGGTTGACGGTTCCAACAGACAAAATATTTCTGCACAGATTTACGCTACTGAAGCTGCTACTCCGAGTTTCATTCTTTATGCGATTTTTCTTTAGGCACGCGGTACTGATTGGACAACTATACCGGTCTTGTGCTTGCGTTTTTCTGATTGGCCTATTTCGATCCACAATTGGGTATATATTGTTGATCGTGTCCTTTCGGACCCTTATTCTGACGTTTTATGCTCTGAGGAGTGTCAGACGAAAGAGCTTTTAGCCAATATGGTATAAAATGCTTGCTTTTTGAAAGCCATCTTAATGCAATCATCAGGCAAATGTTAAAAACCACTCTCTCTCTCTATGGCTGTTGTTATATTAAGTTGTTTATGTTTATGTTATATTTAGTTTGCGCAGATTTAAACTTTTTCCTTTTAATTTTGCATAGATTTTCAAAGAAACGTTTTTTTCTGGTTTCAACTGAGAAACATTGAGAAAATAATAAGGCGAAAGTGTTTTTGAGCATTAAAATGTGAGCATGAATTCGTTGACGATAAACCACTCAGAAATATTGCAAAGAATCGAAGTAAAGTAAATTGTTTTATTGGCAGAGTACGGAAACATATACACTTAAAGAACTGTTGGGTTATTGTTCGAACGAAAGATATCAGTGCGAGCTATTTTATGAAATACAGAAAAAATTCATAAGAAAATGTAAGAAAACCTACTTAAATTATATGTTGAACCTTCTAATGAAGAATAGGGTTTGTGATTCAACTGTAAAATGCAAGCTTTCCACACAGGGATCGCTAAAAATGTCGCGTAAAAATTTCGAAATGTTTGGAAGCACTAACCAAATAACTGATATTTGACTTGTTTTGAATTTCCTGCCGGACACTATTTTCGATTATTCTGGCCTAGTTTTCCCAACACGGACGCAGTTTCAACTGCTGAATGGCGTTTTTTGCATTTCCTTGCATAAATTGCCAAGTTTTAGTTTCATGTCTGTGCGGTTTATGTGTATGAATGAAATTGGCTAGAACTGTTCAATGATCTTTCATGTGCAATAACTATGGTTATCGTTATTGTGACTCGAGACCCAACTGATTGCCGTTTCTATGAACATCAAAGCTCTCAGACCTCTTATCGAAGCTATTTTTTCAAGGCTTATTTACCTTTTCAGTGTTTTTCTATTGTTTGGTCTGCCACCTCAATACCTCTACAATACAATACGATACAGTAATATGATATGCCCATGCCATTCCAATACAAAATGAATTTGGTCCATAAGATGCTAGTACCGGAGTACACTCATTTTTTCATAAGAAACTGGCTATAAAAAACGAGTACTGGATAGTCAGAAAAAGTAAAGAAATTTCAGAACTCGAAGCAACAGAATTTAGAAACTATGAAATCGTGATAAAACTGAGAATAACGAAATTTTGTAAAATCCAAGAACATGATTGCCCTGATGGCCTAGAAATGAAGACACAAGGGATAAAAAATATACTTCCCACATCTAAATACAGCATCAGAACGGAAGCGAATCTCTTGACGTGATAAAAAAGGTCACGAACGTTTCATAACATCATTCATGACATAATTAAGAAACTCTTGAGAAATAATGAGTACTGGAATTTCCAGAACATTAAGAAACTTTAGTACCCAACATCGACCTTCGTTTCTTATAAAAAAATGAGTGTATTCGATTTTCGATCATTAGATTTCTGTTTGGACATTAGAAATTTGCTACCCAACTGAAAATCAATTTATAAAGCTGTGTTGTATTTTTATTGTGTTGTATGATTTTATGTTATTACCTGACCACAAAGGCTGCAACCCTCTCGAAAAATGGACTATTTTTCACATAACCCTGCAGACGATCTTATTTTCAAATCTTACGTCACAGCTGCTGGCAACATGAATAAGATGGTGTTGATGTTTCAGCTTTCATTGATGGAGCATGCAATCATGTGTAAAATTGTTAATGGGAAAGGATCGTCTGCTATACAAGAGGTACACTCATTTTTTTTATAAGAAACAAAGGTCGATGTTGAGTACTCCAGTTTCTTAATGTTCTGGAAATTTCAATACTCATTGTTTCTCAAGAGTTTCTTAATTATGATGTCATGAATGATGATGTTATGAAATGTTCGTGACCTTTTTTATCACGTCAAGAGATTCGCTTCCATTCTGATACTGTATTTAGACGTGGGAAGTATATTTTTATCCCTTGTGTCTTAATTTCTAGGCCATCAGGGCAATCATGTTCTTGGATTTTACAAAATTTCGTTGTTCTCAGTCTTATCACGATTTAATAGTTTCTTAATTTTGTTGCTTCGAGTACTGAAATTTCTTTATTTTTTCTGACAATCAAGTACTCATTTTTTATAGCCAGTTTCTTGTAAAAAATGAGTGTAATAAATATGTTGCTTTTTAGAATGATGCAACGTATAGACTTCTAGAAAATTGATATTCGCTTGCGTTTAGATTTTAAAATGAAGAAAATTTTGCGAATTAATAGAGGATGATTTATTCAAAGTTGAAAAGTTATTCTCTTTATAAATTTGTTTTCATAAACCTTTGTTTCATCTTTTGCATTTGTTTCAACAAGGTCTTACTGCGAGGTATTTGCTTGTTTCCAAATTAACTTTTGAAGATTGCAAGAAAAGCTTTGCTATTGCACAAAAAGATTGTATAACTATTTTTGATTTCTCATTTTAAATTGCAAAATTAGAGACACACCTTTTCTATAAGTATAGCGAATTGATACTTAGACACTTGGAACATTCATTAGAAATTATGGTTCTAATTCTATTCTAATTTTTCTTCTGCAGCTTGGAAAGGTCTGTCACCTTTGCCAGCAAGACCCCAAGATTTTAGCAAAATTCAAACCCGTTTTTCACACATTAATGGTTAGTCATTCCTTCTCTATTATTTTGTTTGTTTAGTCATCAATGTTTATTCTGACGATTTGAATTGGTGCACAAGGTGGTTTACAAGGCGGTGGAACTATGATTTGCCCTTTTTGTAATATATATCTGTATGGGTATTCTGATAGACATGTTTTAAATAAGTCTCATTTACATGTTTTGAGCATTAAGTTTGTAAAATATTTTGTGTTCCACTTGTACTTGACGTGTTATTGTCCAAATTCTAAGTACACATATTTTATTTCGATTATTAAACTAGCAATACCATGATGATTACAGTAGATGAATACCTATAGGGTTTTTTGTCAAAATATTCGGATGATATCAAATTATATTGATAATAATATTAACAATAACATCATATGTGTTTGAAATAGAGGATGTAATGGGTTTGTTCGTTTGACATGTTCTTTCACACTAGAACCAGAGCTGCGTGCTAAGAGGATAGTTCTAGGGATTTGCACAGCACTATATCTTATCTTATGGGGAATTTTTTGTTCAACAGTCCAGTCTTTAAGAATTAACAAGGGGCAAAAGGAGACAATTATATTGTGCGGATTCGTGTCAACAAAAAACGTTATATTTGTAGTTGTCGTAGTGCTGGTATTTGTTCTTGGGGTTTTCCTCAGCTGTTATCGACTCTACTCCTTTTTTGGTACAAAAATTCTCTACTACCAGTTTGGTTAACAGCAATTATTTACAGCAGTCAAATATGGCGTTCCTGGAAAGGGCCTTCTTGCAGCTTTTCCATACACCCCTCAATCAAGTATTTTTTTATAGGGTTTGTATGGCATGTCAATGAATTTGATGGGCGATGCTGCAGAACACTTCAGAAAAGCTGTTGAGGTATTTTTTATTATTTATTGTTTGTTAGATACATTTGTATTTTTATTGTTTCTGAATATTTCTTGTGGGCCTCTTAATATACGTCGTAAAATTTTCCATTGAAGAAGTGAGGCCTTGTTAAGTAGTTCTCCAAAACTCGGCACTGATTGTAAAGAATCAATGTCGACTGGCTCTTCTTTACATTCGGCTGGCTTTCTTGGCTGTTATAGGCCATAATTTGTTGTGAATTGCTGTGATTGGCTGTGATTGGCTGTGATTAGCTGTGATTGGCTGTGTTTGGCTGTGATTGGGTTTGATTCGCTGCGTATGCCTAAACAACAAACCAACAAAACTTAACTGAATCAATCTTGGTTGGTAAAACCATACATTACATTGCTCGTCCATTTCGTTAGTTCTTTACTGAAATAACCCTGAATGGTGCATTCTTTATTCTGTTTTCGCTAGATATCATTTCTTTCTCTTTGAATGTTTAATTACTCTTACCATTGGAAATTTATCATATCAAGTACATAGCAGTGTTGTTTTGATTTTCTTAATACAGGAATTCTTTAGCATTTCAATGTTCTAAGTACACATGTTACATTCTAAATCAATCAACGATTAAGTTTGCGATTAAGCTTTATTGCATATTCCATTGAATTTTATAACTGAAAGGAAGTCTCTTTATACAACAGTGGGTCTGTGATAAAGAGAGCACCGAAGACACACACCTTGGAACTCCAGTTATAATTTATCTTTGTATGATGTTTCTTCCATTTCTATCCATTCTCTATTCAACCTGTCTTTTTTTGCAGCTCTCTGTAAAAGGATCTGAGATATTTAATATCGCGGCGTTGAACCTTGCAATCATTTATGCGAGAGGCGGTGAAGCCAAGAAGCAAGAAGTAAGACCACTTTGATCTATTTTGCTCTCCCTCTCCAATTCTTTACAGTTCTTGCCACTCAGTATGTACTTTCTTACTGAATAGTCCGCAACAAGACATTCATTCTGCGCCTATTCTATTGCAAATCAATAGCCGTGTTATTCAAGATGAATATAGCAAGGACTAGAGTACCACTTTAAATTGGATGACAACATACAACAACAACCCTATTGATAAGAATACAATACAGTTGCAATGTATGAATTTTACTTTGATCCACCTATTGAGATCGAGCTGAATTAGTTGCGTTATTTTGCCTAATTTTTGTGAGAAACAAATATTTTTCTTCGAAAATTGCACTGAGCTACAGTTAAACCTTTTAGCATCACTTTAGCATAACATAAATTAGCCCGGAATATTTACTTGCCAACTTTAGATAAAAGAAGTAATAATAAAATTATAAGGCTTCGTCAATTATTAGCAATGACATTAGGCTTTCCTTAAGATATATCCCAGAGAGCCAGAGCCTCGAATAACTGACTACTGGAATAGACGAATTGTAGTCAGACCCTCGAATTCAGTGTCATATCTACAGATAAAGTTAACTCTTCATTGATGCTTTCATCTTTTTTTGAATTTTAGCTACTCGATATGTTTGAAAAACTCAATAATGCATCTGTGATGAGGTTAGATGCACATTCTTGTCACTTTAATCATTTTTGATAATTTTATGATCTATGTTATAGCATTCGCGATATCAAGACTTTTCCGCACAAAATCTTTTGTAAAGCCGTAATAAACAACTTCATTTGAAATGATGATCAGTTCTGTCAGAATTTTTTTTGTAACGAGATGAAAGATTACGTATGCGATATTTGTTTGGATTGAAATCAGGATAAAAAAATTCATTGATATTTCTATTAAAAATCCAAACAGAACTGAATTCGTTTTCTTTGAAGTTGTATTTTGAGTTCTGAGGTATATATACATTTATAATGCTTTGACCATTGATATATTTTAGAGTTTTTTAGAATCTTCAAATACTAAACCCTTTACAATCTTTTTTATACTCTTATGATTTTGAAGGATGATCATATTCGATGACCACAAGATGCTTCCTTAAGATTTTCCTACGTCTTCAACTTATTTTGTTACTGGCTCTCTCTCAATAATCTTTTGACAAAGTCTACCATGTTTTAAAAACATATTTTCAGGTCACAAGCTCTGCAAGCAGGTTACCTATATGTGAAAGGGCTTGTGTCATTTTTCAATGCCAACTACCACGAAGCCAAGTACGTTTTTCAACTTTATCGTTATCATATTTCCAAAATCAATTCATACATGTCAACGCTTCAATCTTGCAGATCTGTCGTAACAAAGTTTATATTGGGTTGGGTGGATGTTTGGCTACGAGACGAGCAAGGGATTTATCTAATTTTTCGTCATATTGAATTATTGGATTTGGGTCTATATACTAGCCACAAAATCCAGAGAGCGTTTGTCGTTCCTCTAGATAATTCCCTCAAGCTCTGGAAACCTTTCTCATAAGCAAGTAAATAAGGGCTGGGTTAGTGCGCGATATTTGTATTCATCGGCCTTCTCATGATCATTGTCACATGAAGTCAATTATCACGTTTTCCAGGATTTAACTGCTCATTTTACGCAAATATTGTATAACTCTGGGAATTAATCGCCTCTGAATTACTTAGCTCTGAAGCTTCTTCAGCTCAGCAACAAAACTTTTGATGTTTTAGAAAATACCTTCGCGAAACGCTTCGAATCGGAAACGCCGAAGATCTGAATCGGATCACCGCTTGTTCGCTTGTTCTTCTGGGACACGTCGTAACTGCATCAGGGAACCCACAGGTGCTTAAAAAATCACACAGATTTTACTCTTCGTTACCTCTCTTTGGCTGACGTCATTCTGTGACGTGCTTATTTGTAAGCAGAATGATGTCGTCTAGGCCCAGGCTGCTTTCTCTTCTTACTTTAATTCAGCTTCCATTCATCTCCAATATTAGTCTTGTAGCGTAATTCTCGTTTTTGTACTCGCTATTTTTTTGTGATGCAGGATTTGTTATTTAGAATTTTACTACAATGTTATTAGTTATCATAAAGTTAAGGCGTCGCAAAAATCCCTTCCTTGTCATATTTCGCCATTCATTTTTGTTAGTTGTCTGAATTGTTTCATGTATTGCATATAGCAAAAGCTACACAACTTCCTATACTCCCATGGCTAACAGCTCATTGTATCCAGACCTATGCTTTTTCAGCATATTTTAAGACATATATTGATTTCTGTAGCATGGTTCTTGTACATGAAGAAATCATTCACAATGACCTTTTGGCCAGCAATAAAATCCACAAAGAAAGTGAAGGAAATGTGTAAAAACTCTTTCAAGCTTTTTCCCAGCTGTTATTTACTTCCGAATGCATTTTCTTTAACAGGAAGCTTTGAGCATGGTAATACCAGCAATGCAGCTTGCAGCCAAGGTTCCCGATGTATATTTGCAGCTTTGGTCTGCTTCTCTCCTTAAAGGTGAGCTCCCTATTCCTTGAATATATCTGTTTATTTTTTTACCTACAAAAGGGCAAGAGACCCATTTTTAGAAAGTTTGTGCTTTCCTGTCAAATTCGATATCAAGTGTGCTTCCTTTTCTTCTGACTTTTTGTCAATCGCCTATAGACTTTCTTTCGGTCATCAGTTTCATTCTTTGATTTGTAAATAACGAAACTAATTCGTGTCCACGTGCAATTTCTTTCCTTATCCAGGCTACTCTGACTTTTCCAAAGCAATTATTAATGAGATTTTTCAAAGCAATTATTTTTCTTGAATAATGAATTCTTCGAAAACCAGCACCGAATACTGAAGTTTATATCAGAATTGCCATTGAACTTAAAGCTCATATGAATAGTAGTGTCTGTATGCACTGTCAATTTTCTGCAAAATTTAGCGCTAAATTGACAGCAGACATAAGCCCAGCTATTCCGAATGCTTGTGCGCAATTGTCGCTTCCCTTATTGGACTTCAGTTGAGGCCCAGCCCGTTGCTTTTAAAATAAATAGACAACGGGTAATTGTTACTAGAGCCACTCAACTGGTGTGCTCATCTTTTCATTTTATAAAAGTTTACAGAGTGAACTACCCTTAAACTCTGAAATCCCGTTTCAAAATATTACGTAGATTTCGCCTTTGATGTTTTTTTCGCAAATACACTGCACTGAATCTACCAAGTAATCCCTTGATATTTTGCTTGTTAAAGTTTACTTCACGCATCCCCTTTCCCCAAAAACAATGTTGGTTGTAGTGGTTGTAGGTATTATAACTATCTGTAAGAAATCCATTAGACCTCACCAATCATTGCATATAACAACAATGTTGGCAGAACGAGAGAAAGATGCCTTAAAACTATGTTCAAAATTTGAGTTTAGAGTACTAAGACTTGGCATGCATTGGCCTTGTCATGTACTCCGATGAAATTATATTACATAACATTGGATTCTCGTCGTTGTTTTGCTTCGTTCCTGACTATTTTGATTGTACCTTGTCATTTTCACACTCGAATCATTTTGATCAACTAAGTAGGTACTTCATGCACAAGACACCATTCTTTTTCCGTAATTCAGGGGAATTTATGCTTGTAGAAGTGGGAGATTCTGCTTAATTGTTCAGCTGTTTATCTCCCTTACCCATTCAACTGTTCATTTCCTGATTCTTTCAATTGCTGAATAAAATGTCCCTTTGTCATTGATTTTAAACTCATGTCTGAACTTTATCATTAATCTTTTTACAATGAAAATCACCCTTTCGACGCTCAAAATTCCAACTTATTTCGCCTTATTCAGTTTAATCAACATTTTCCTGCTTCTTTCGCTCTTGGTGCGATAAATATATCCTTGTTATATTTCTGTTTTCTCTGCTTTTCATCAATTCTAGAGAAGAATCTAATATAAGTCTCTGTTTCAATTCTTTCAAGTCTGAAAAACTGCGTGTCAAATCTTTCCCTAAAGTTTGTTTGGCTTTCTTTTTTCCAGACAGACAACGGTGTGGAACGGTCCTGCCAGACATATAACGTCGGCCTACCCTAGGTCTTTGTGCTTTCATGTCATAATTGTAGCAACTCTTCCTGGGTCAGCTTCAGATATCTCCACTGCCTTAATCTCGTAAAATGGTTTTTTGAACGGATTGAACGGATTTGAACGGATTGAACGGATATGGAAGCCTTTTTCCGGAATCCGGATTGAACGGATTCTATAGGCTACCTTTTTGGACAGAGTTTTTCACTCATTCGTGCCTTAACAGAGCTCCGTTTACGTTCTTCAAGCGAAAACTTTAAACGTACGAACAGCATACTTGTATTGAGGCTTCATTAAGAAAGGAGACCCACGCTATGCCAAAAACCTTAAATACCTCTAATTTGACCAGGGGTATGAAAACGCCACGAAAAACACACCTTACCCTAGTTTTACAAATCGAATCTCCAGGAGGCCAAAAGACTCCCCATTGCCCATTGTCCATAAACTAGTAGAGCAGATATACAAAATAGACATGAGGAAGCGTGGCACAAAAAACCATAATGTATAGGAAATTATAACAACACCAGTTGAATAAGTTAAAGCTCAAAAGTCCTTCATGAAATTAACTGTGTTTAAATCATCGTTAAACCTTATTAAGTCCTCTGTATTTCCAGCATATTTCCACTAGCCTAAACCCAACATGGGCGCCGTGTGCCAGTTGTCTTTTGACACAAGGTTCAGAACAACTTAATATAAATTCGTGCTACGACTGCAATTATACTGAATTAAGCTTATGCCTCTTTGTGAAAATAGAATATTTTGCGGTTCCTTGTTTCCTTCTGAAGCTCGCATCGTTGTCATCGTACTCCTCTTTCCAGTGGAAGATGTGTATATCAAGCAATCTGCAGGGGTATTATAATCTAAAGCTAGACATTTTTATCCAGCTCTATCTTCTTTGCCGATAGAATCGCTACACATAATTTTTATGCATACGTAGCTCTAATTGTTATTACACCAGGAGGTTTGACACTCGTTGAGGTAGCTAAATTCAGGGGATTACGTTGTCATTACCCCCTTTACGGCTCAATATGTCCGATACGCTCAGCTTTTAGGTTAGAATTTTAAAATCAGGTAGCTGCAATTATCTGGTGGCAAGTTTGCTAAACCCCGTAAAGAGATTTGATCCCAAATACGTGGATATCCAATCCTCGTGGCTTTTTGTAAAGACTTTCTGTGATGAACTTGGTTCCATAATCTCAAGCATGTTGCTATTTACTATGATTTAGTAATCTTGTATATCCGTATGGTGATTTTTGTGGAGAGAGTTATTAAATCGCTTTCTTCTAATATATTGGCCAAACTTAATTTAAATGCCTTATTTTTGAGAGAAATGTATCATTTCTTAGTGATGTAATATATATTCACACTTTCAATATCAGGGTATGGGGTGAAAAGCGCAAAAGATTCGCCTTCCTGATTTGCTATGTTTTTCGATATATACTCAGGGCCGTAAAGATCGTTTTCCATGTACGTGCAGCCCGTTGATTAATTACAAAAACTGTATACGATAAAAAGGCATAAGCCTCTATCCCTGTTGTTTATAGCAGGTTTTATCACTCTGTGCTTTCATGAAAGATGGCCTGAGAACTGCCTTGAATTGCATCGTGCTATATTTTTAAACATTGCTTGAAATATCCATTCTTTTTTGTGAGAATCGATTGCATAATATCATTTGATTATCCTTACAATCATGATCCAACTCACCCAATAACTGCACTTTGCTGCGCACCTTTTTCAACTTTCGTCATTTTCAATTTTCAACCCAACACTCTGGTTTATAGTTTTTCCTCATCCTTCCACTTTAGATCAGAACAGGATCAAGGTGCGTGCTATTTGTGCAGCAGCATTAGGCCAATTCATTTAATATGCCTAGGTGAAAACAGACAAGGATTTTTCTGATACTGAATAGTCCCAACAATGGGATCTACTTGCGCTGCATCATCAGGCCCAATGTGGGCTTAATCTGGCACTGCTTTAGATTTTTGTTCTGGAATAATTTCCCTTTGCTTACGCTTACCTCAAACCTCTCTCATTTAAACGGTTTATTAATGACCAAGATTTTCGTTTTGTTTCTAAAGCTCAACTTGTGACCGAAAAATTAATTGGAAAGTTGTTAAGACATTACAGGAAGCTCCTTTCAGAATCATTTTTAATTGACTACAGTAGCTTAAGTATTAATCAATTCGTGAAAGGCTTCGTTAATCAATTTAATTTATTACCGACATCTTTTAGATATCTATCACCTTCTTGGCGACGAGTCACATGAAATCGAGGGTGCACAGCTTCACCATTTGTATACGACGCAGCTGTTACAAGGTAGCTCAATTTGCGTATTAATGCTTTGTATGTCTGTCTATCTGTATGCATGTATTTATGTATGTATGAATTGGCGACAGAAGCAATTCGCTATGATTAAAAGATGCTCTGTCAGGTTAAGATACAGGTAAGCACCTTTATTGTGGGGAATTGTCTCGTTTCCATACTGCTCGACAATGATTAATTATTTCAAGTTAAGGGTTAGAGTTAGGTTTAGGGCTAGAGTTAGGGTTAGGGTTGGGGCTAGGGTTAGGTTTAGGGTAAACTAATTACATCATCAGGTCGAGCAGTATGGAAACTAGACAGCTCCTTGTTGTGGCAGGAGTAGCATTGATAGGTCGAGTTGACCTCATTTTCATAATGGTCCCCATAGAGGTAGTTGCAAAGAAACCAGGAAAATACAAAAATCAACAATGGACTTTCTACTAAGTTGTGAATTACCGAACTTGGCTAGATCGAATCATGAGTGCAAGAGAGGGTGTGGGGTTTTAGTAGAACACATAAATGCCTTTTCTTCTTTTCGAAGAAATTTTCTTCTACCGTATTTGTGTTGGTAACATTGTTTGTGGATTTCAATTTAAATGTTAGGATATACAATATCTTTTGCTCAAAACAAGACAGAAATTTTTGGCCTGAATAATTCTTGAGAAATCGAAGGTTGAGTTTAAACTTGGAGCTTCTCGCTACTGGCCTCTGGTCGATTTGGTGGATTCTTTTTGGTAGAAGCTGATGCTGTTCCTTTTAAAAGCTTTATTATTTTTACCAATGTATGTTGTTTTATTCTTTTCCTTGTAGGGGCCAGTTTATAGTTAACGAGTTCAACCTTATATTTTCATCGTGCCAACTTTCTTATTGGAATAAAGTTTGGTCTTGATTCTTGAGGACATTTTAAGTGTTTCAGTAGCTGCGGGCATTTTGTATTAAAACATCTTTATGCGCATCTTGTCAGTCGAGATGATTCTTGTAGCGTAAATAAGGCAGCTTAAAAGTTTCAGATCAGTTTTTCGTGTCAGGCAGACTCACAGACAAGGAATCGCAATTGATTGTAGTTTGGGCCTTTGAAGCAAATATACATCAATTCATTAGCCTGTCCAATCCATTTTTTCATATTTAGCTTTGTGTCTGACATTTTAGATAGTAAATGACCTTGTTTATACATTTGTCAAGGTAAACCCTTTAATTGATGACATGAATATCCCCTTTATTTCAGATCATTTCCAAGCTGGTCAAAGACCAGAGCACTCTCTGCTAAGGGTAACTGCTCCATTTTGTTTATATCGCTTATTTGCAATTGTTACTCTGTATCAGATTCTTTAATGCCTTTAGTTTTTTATAAATTGCTACTAGAAAAGTTCTTTTAGAATTTTAGCCTGCAATCAGGTTGCTATTGCAGGGAAATTCTCTTTTATACATGTACACTGCAGATTACTGTAAATTAATGATCTAGCGATTTAAAGCTGGTACAAAGGAGCGTTGTCATTTGATATGAACTTATAGCTATGGTAGAGCAGATCTACTTCGTGACTTAATTTAATCAAGCTCTTAGTTGTCTGTAAAGTATACATAATGGACAATTATTACTCTGGTCATATGGACCTTCAAATATCGAGATTTAGTACTATTCTGACGGTGAATAAGAGCCAGAGACGCGATAAGGGCAGGACTTGGACCCCTGAACGGCGAGACTGTGCGTTGTCGCTCTTCCAGCTACCTCATGTTTTGAAGCTCACTCACACACGCCACAAAGTTGAAGGAATGTGGGGACCAAGGTTAGCAAAAGTAGAGGGCCAAGGCTTTTCCCCTCTTACTGCAGCTTTAAAGCTACTTGCTTCTCAAAAAAGTGGGAGGCCATGGCCCCTCCGCCCCCCCCCCCGTGGTGTGTGCCCTGCCTTCTTTATCAAAGTACACAGTGTAGTCATTGCAACATCAATGGAAATACGCAAAAAACCAGCTTTGATGGAGGACTTCCCATTGGGGGGGGGGGGCATTGCAGCGCCACAACTGGATAACATTGAGATGAATGCGTGACTGCTAAAAAGGACTTCAAGAAACATATGTGCCAAGCATTGTAGAGATTACCCTTTCACTTTTTTTAGCATATCTACTATTGTATTTTCATCTTTCTTCAAACGTTCTTTTCAAATTGTAAAACGTGTTTATTTCTTTCAGGACACGAATTGGAAAGTCTGACCATTCAGTAGAAAGCGAATGTCTACCAAGATATTTCCTTTTTTATTTTCAAGTAGAATTCCCTGCGAAGAAAGAATGGTAAATTTGCATTGACGGCGAATTTCAGTTGGACTTAAGTATGGACGTTTTGCTTAGAACATCTGTAAATATATGTTTTTTACTGGCTCGTCCTTATAATTTACAGTTAGGAATTTTAGCGTTTCATGAAACATTCATAGGTGTATGTATATATAAATCCTATGATGTTTTGCGATTTTAAAGTATTTTTGAAGTATTTTATCTCAGATTTTATTATTTAAACATAGTATGTTTTCTTCTATAAGAAAAAGCCTTTTTTATACTCTGGTTGTTCTTATTCTACATTGCTCTTCAAAATAATTCTCCGTCGAAATTTGAAGTAATTCATCGGAATTTTTCAGGAAAGCAATTTTGTTTTCTAAAGAATCTTAATGTTTTGCCTAATAAATTGTTGAATTAACTATCTAAAAGAAACATCAATTGGAGTTTTTTAGAAAATAGTTAAAAAGTTGGTCTAACTAGCTAAATAGTACGGAGACATTTAATTTCAATAAGGATGGGCTTTCTGAAATGGAATCTGGATGGGTTGTGTATCTGCTCTTCTCGAATCATTCGAACTTTAACGCGAACTTTGATTAGCTTTGGTTCTAGCCGTAACTGCATGCTTTGAAATAAACACAATTCAAATTAGGAATTTTTTGATTCATACAATAGATCAGAATCTTTTATCAATCCCTGTTAACATAGTCTATTTTCAGTTCACTAAATTGATTATTCAAAAGTTTCGAAAGGTTTTTGTAATGGGAATCTGTGAAAGTATTGTTATTGCTGAGAACTGAGTTTCGATCTCGATTTGGATATGCCTAAATGTGAAATTTTCGCGTATCTTGGCGAATATTTTCTTTCACTTTTTTTTAAATGAATAGCAAAGCCTCGAAGAGCTAACAGATCAAAAAAAATTGTGAGCAATGGGTGAACTTCAAATGGTAAAGAGAAGAGTTTGTGACTAGACAAGAAAATCATTTTGACATTTGTTGTAGAGTAAAGTTATGTTCACGCCAGTTCGTTTATTTTTCCATTTGCCTTTAGATCACTTTTGAAGAGTAAGCCATTTCTGTTTCATTTCATTTCGAAGTGATTTCTGCCCAAAGACGAGATGTGTCTACGAGAATGATTTTCAGATCAACCATCTGTCAGACATTCCTTGCTTAGCTTGGCTCTGCCAGAAATCGCACTCTTTCGTATATCCAGATACCATGCCTTGCACATTTCGATAATAATCATCATAATTACGAAATTTCATGATAGAAACTTGGATCTTCCGATCTGGGAAATTCTCAAGGTGAAACGTTGCACATTGTTTTTGATCCAGTCAAAAATGGTTCAGACGCACACAGTGACAGTGGCACTTGTATAGAGAGATGAAACCTTATTAACTGTACTGCACCTGCATAGGTTTTTACGGTGATACAATAAATTCTTTCAATTATGCCGGAAATAGCAAGGATGTCATAGTAACGGGGATCTCATGGGCAGTTTCGTAATGTGATTGGTTAGTTTTGTTGATCAATGTCATCAGTAATCCATATTTGGGTTTGGTAATTGAGAGAGTATTGTTTTGTTATTTTGTCTTCAAGTATAATCGTTTCACACAATGGATCGGCTTGCAGAATCGTTCGGTCGTTTGATGGACGGGTGTTCTCCTTCCCAGACGTCCTTTGACCAGACCTGTCTTTTGACGTTGTAATACAACAACCATCTCCTTCGCCGTTGTCGCGTTCTTTTCAAAAGAGCACAGTGTCATACCGGATTCTTCAACCTGGAAGTTTTTCGCACCATTCTAGTCCAGGTATTGATCCAATTTCATTTAGCTTGTAGAATGTTCCTCCAGAAATGCTGTTTTTTAAGAATTTCTTTGGTTTCTAAACGGGTTTCGTTTTGTTCCGCGCGTTCTCCGCCATGCCGATATCGTGTAATCGTGTTCGCCTAACGTGTCATTGTGCTTAGGCCTATAGGAGTTTAACACGCGATCATAATCATACAAGCGAGAGGATACTTATGTCTTTGAATTGGTTTGAAGCAAAGTTGGTGGAATAATACAAATCGGATGAAGTCCTCAATCATGTCTTTGGCAGCAATCAAAGTTTATTGCTGAATAATCGACGGGACTTAGGCGTCCTCACCCCTAGCCAAGGTATTGTGTTCATTGCGGCGGACTAAGCGAACAGTCGTCGTTATTTGGTCATTTTCCAAGTACCTTTAATGATAAACAAAATTATTTTTATAGGCTTGTATTCCTCGTTGCTCTTTGATATCCATTTAGTTTCACTAAACTTAATTTATTACCGTAACATTTAGAAACTTCCGTTTATCCTTGCAGGTAGCTTTGATTGTTCAACTGGCCTGGTCAATTTGAAGTGCTGCTCGTGTAAATACTCTCAGTTGTTGTCGCCATAGAAAATAGTTTTCAGTAGATTGCTTTTGCACGTGGGATTTCAAGATGTGGATAGGATGCCTAATTTAAGTACATTGAGAATCAATTTGGTCAGTTAGAATATACGTCGAATATTTTGACGCCGATCGAGCGGTGGAACCAGGTAGGAAAATGGCGGCGGTGGAAAGTATCTCTGAAGTAATTAAAGATAGCGATAAGGAGCACGTGCCGTTAGCTATGAGTGAAGTAGAAAATGACAAAATGAATCTGGTCAACGGAGACACAGAAAGGAAAAGGTATGTTAAGTTTTTTATGTTATAATATGTGCATTCGGAATTCCAACGTACGCTTCGCAAATAGGATATTTTGTAGCTAGTAATGACCACAAGTATGAAAACAAAGTTGGTACCAACTCGTTGCATGCGATCATAAAAGACCTGATATGATAAATCTAGGTAAACTGTGAGTAGGTTTTTTCACTTTGTTAATATTATGTGTTAAGTTAACAAGGTATAAGTTAATGGTCAAAAAATTTCTGTAAAATTGTTTATTATTTGTATACAAGACCGGTCCCACGCGCCACAATCCACAGTGAATGCTTTCTTAGGCCAACAACTACTGATCACCGTAGTGTCTGAGTGGTTTTTATATAAAATAACACCAGGTATTTATTATAGGTTCTAGGTGACAAAATTTATATCGTTTATTTACGATTGAATCGCGAGGTTCCTAACGTTAAATGAAGACGATGTTAATGCCTCTAGAATTCATTTATTTTTTTACGAATCACTTGCCACTTTATACCACGATAACGTTTATTTGTTTTATATTTTTTTCGTGGTTTTGGGTGAAATTATCGACTTAACAGACTTCCAACCTTGAATAGATGAGTGGCCATTGAAATACCGCTGTCATCACACCAACCATATGAACCGGTGTTCTCAAACTTTATAAGGTATTAAAATATTCGAGCAGGATGGTAATGGTATTTTGAAGAACCTAAATTTATAAATCTTAAGCTGTTTTATCAGAAATCTTATAAAATGGGAATCCTTCAAACATTTTGGAAGAATATTGTGTTTCTGGCAAGGTGGATTATTTGTAAATCCCTAAAGGGAGTGCAGACGGTGTTGAAAGATCCGAAATGCAAGTCACGTGATTTACAAAATAACAGCTTGCTGATCCGTAGATAGAGATTTAGACCAATCAGGTGCTTTGAATTAGATGGAGAAAGTCGACTTCTTTTTGTTATGGTAATTTGTTCTTTGTTGTGGTGAATCAATTGTTTTTCCTATTCATGGATCCTTGTCAGTGTTTATCCATTCATTAAGGAATTTCAATATGGTTGATAAACTAGCACTTTCTTTCAGTTTCATTTCTACTCCACTAAAACCCCTAGCTTCCTAGGGGCTCATTCAAATTACAATTATTTTTAGCTTCAATGTTTAATTTAGGTAGTGTTATTATTTAGTAATCCAAACAAAAAAGGATTGGCTGGGTAGTCAGTTTGATTGGTAATGGTATCAGCTTTTGCATCCAGTTTTTGAGTTTGAAGTTGCCATTGTTATCATTGTATGTGGCATATTATTTTTTAGTCAGTATTTCCCTATCCTAAATATATTCAGCAAATTTTGTTTAACAATGGCTGAAACCCCTGGGTGATATCTTTTCAGATATATAAAGATTACTTTTTACCAATCTTTTTAGTTCTTGAGGCCTTATAGATAGAGGTATATAGACTTTGAATTTTATCTATCAGAAATTGTGAATGTGGAAATCTCTATATTGAGTATGTAAAAGTATTCCAGTATGGCAGGGGCTCCTTTGGCAGGGCCAAGGGCCCTTGTCAGTTCTTTTATTAGAGCCTGTTCCTATTGACAAATTTGGATCATTATTTGTTGATGGAGGCATTGTCAAGACTTGTGTTGATTTCTAAAGTTTGTTGTTCGTAGAAATTTTCGTAGAAATTTTGCTGAATTTTGTTATAAAGTTTTAGAATATAAAACATATGATAATATACCTAGTATTTTCAATGATGGTGAAACCTTAGGAACAAATTGGAACTGTGCTGTTCCTTTATTTAGAAAGAATGGAGTGAAAATATTTTGCTATAAACTTGTTGCTTATTAGTTTGGTGTACCTTTTTCATAGCTTTTTTAGGCACTCCTTTATATTGAATGAACATTTTTTCCCTTGAAAATTTTGAGCAGATTATGGGTGAAAATTTTTTTTTTATATATTTGGATGTGGATTTAAAGTGAGTGTTAACAGTTGGTATGACTTAAAGGCAGTCTGTCCCCTTTGTGATGCTCAGGGTAATTACGCTATTGTGGTTCTTCATCCTGATTGTTTATTTGTGCATTGAATCAACGATGCATGAATATCGCGGCCATGAAAAGAGGTTCTGAGAACAATGGGGGACATACTGCCTTTAAAAGAGATTTGTAACCCTTGAAAAATATCAAGCACATTTTGTATTATATATCCAGCAAGCTGTTGACTGGACAATTTTTTCATTTGAAACCGAAGACTTGCTGAATTACTTGAATACTTTGGTTGTGCTGTTTTATGCTCTGTAACTGCTATATTGATTTGTGGCAAATAGAGGTTCAGGAATATAGCATATAAAGTTTTTGTTTGGTAGATTGTTCAAACTCCTTGTGATAATTGATCAAATTGAAGATAAACAAGATCAAATGTTCAAAAACCTTATGTCATGAGTTTAAAACCAAATTTTTAGCACTTATTTATTAACCATTTAGCTCCATACCACTGAGCAAAGAACAACCAAAATTTCTTCACACAAATATTTTAGTTGCAATTATTTTCAGAGCTTTCCATAGGCCCAAAACTTTTTTAACTTGAATAATCCCTGCAAATATGCAAAGGGTGCAAATATCGAAAAAGAATTAAAAGGCTTTTTTAATGGGTTAGTTCAGAGAAAGTTTTTTTGCAAGGTCTCAAACAAAATCTGATCAAAGATTTCTTGAAAATATGAATGAAAGTGGCCTAAGCATTAGTTCAAAATGTCTTCAAAAGAAACACCTCCCGCATTCAAAGAAACCAAAAATGTCGCTGAAAAACCAATGGTGGATGACTAAAGTTATAATTATATCAAATAAATAAAGCAATGGCAAGTTAAATAATGATTGTACCTGTAGTGCTGATAAAGTTTTCTCTCAGATCGCAAAACAGCATAACTAAACCTAATTTCTATTGGCATTAATTGTTGTTTTGCTGGTTAAAATCACAAAGTTCTATTTCTGTTCAACTTTTTGTTAAGAGAAATCAATTGAAATTAAGAAATGTAACTGCCCATGAGAACAAATTTTTTGTTGAACAATGTTTCACCTTTGGTTTCTTTCTCAGTGGGAATAAGGTTTTAAGGTAGCAAATTTGTACAAAAGCAGTTATTACAAAAGAGTCCTTGACTTGTTTTGAACTAAGAATTTCTGTGGAGTTGGTCAAGTCCCATTTCTTTTCAAAACTGTTGGATATAGAAGAAAGAGTCTTTCATTAAATTCATGATTTTGTGGTTTTTGTGAGAGCAAGCATGCACTAGGTAGAGTATACACTTTCAAATTTAGATTGGTAAATATCTTTTGATTAGTTTAAAGGTTCTGGCAGTGTATTTAGGCCATAATAAGCAAGGGCAGACATTTGCTCAAATATTGGGGACAAGCCTATTGTTTTGATAAGATGGTGTTACACTTCCCCATTGTTTTAGAACAAAAGACCATTGTATTCCAAAATATGGGGGCAACTGCCTCCCCCTCACCCCCAGGCATCTGTCACTAATAATAAGTGAAATGTTTATATAGCATGTAAACCTATCAGTAATACAGGTTCAGTTAGAAATATGGGCCCCAAGGCATACACAGAAGCAGCCCTTTGTCTTATATTATTTGCCTAGTAGTTTTTAGTCATACACCATCATTGGTTTTCCAGTGGCGTTTCTGGTTTCTTTTAATGTGAGATGTTGCTTTCTAAGGTATTTTTGAAATGGTATTTGACCAACTTTCATTCACACTTTCAAGTATTTCTTGATCAGGTTTTGTTTCAGGTCATTAAGGTGCACTAGTAAACCACAGTTAAGTGAATTGAGGATGAAATTCTCTGGAAGGTTATTGAACTATCAATTAGAAGGTGTATAAACTTGCTTTAGTATACTAGCCATCAAAGTTTACTCCTTTGTGTACTGTTAGATGTATTGTGATGAAATAATTATCATTTTTAGTCCATTTTTTAAATGGCTGGTTTTGTGCAGTTTTTTGTAGTCACAAGATCCTTGACTGTTTTTATAGTTGATGTAGGTACCTGTTTGTTTTGAGTAGTCATTGTGTTGTCTGAAATGCCAGTACTGGTTTTTGTCTGAACATTAAAGCCCATGTACACGATAAAATATCATCATACAAAACATTGTCAAACATCATCAAACAATGTTCAATGTTCGATGATGTTCAATGTCAAACATCTTGGACAATGTTCAAGAGCAAATGTTTCATCGTGTCGACCACTTCATCATGCAACCTTGAACATCATCAAACATGTTTGACGATGTTTGAGGAATTTGCTGCTTGCAGCAAAAATCTAATGATGTTTTACAATATTCGAGATATTCTCCAATCAAATTTGTAGAATTAGCGTGTGCGCATGGCACTCCTCATGCTTCATAACAAAAAATATGGCGGAAGGAGCTGCAGGAGTTGCATGGGATTACACCACGGTTTTCACCCTCTCTTATCTAGTCCTTCACCCATAACGCCTTAATGCTTTTTCCTTCGTTGTTTATTAGTTAAGACTAAAATTATACGAGAGGATGAAATTGCAGTTATTATGTCTGCATCATCCATGCTTGCTGAATTCCATCAAAGTTTTCGCGTGAATTTTTGCCAAACTTCTCCATACATTTGTTTGGCATTGTTTGATTATGTATGATTATGTCTTACGCGCTATGAACATGGTGCAACAAATGTTTGATGATGTTGGATGATGTTTTGTATGACAATGTTTTATCGTGTGGACGAGCCTTAAAGATTGCTCTTTGCAGGGTCAGTGACATTCATTAGCAACCTTATTTCACATGGTTGGTTGAGCAAATAAAAATGCGATCCTTTCTACTTTTGTGCTTTGGTGACCCTAATCCATTCCATTGTATGCTGCTTGGGGTCACTT